TTGCATTCTTTTGAAATTTTACTAACATTGTGCCAGTTTTATACTTTCAGGGACTCGGAAGAGGAACAACGATGGAGGAGCAGGGTCGACCAACAGGGGAAGACGAGATGACGAGTCCATTTCCCATCTCTATACAGCATCCAACATGGCCCAAAGTGGTAAGTAACTTTTCATGATTTGTTGCATTCTTTTGAAGTTTTACTATTATTGTGCCAGTTTTATACTTTCAGGGACTGGGAAGAGGAACAACGATGCAGGAGCAAGGTCGACCAACAGAGGAAGACGAGATGACGAGTCCATTTCCCATCTCTATACAGCAACCAACATGGCCCAAAGTGGTAAGTAACTTTTCGTGATTTGTTGCATTCTTTTGAAATTTTACTAACATTGTGCCAGTTTTGTACTTTCAGGGACTCGGATGAGGAACAACGATGGAGGAGCAGGGTCGACCAAGAGAGGAAGACGAGATGACGAGTCCATTTCCCATCTCTATACAGCATCCAACATGGCCCAAAGTGGTAAGTAACTTTTCATGATTTGTTGCATTCTTTTGAAGTTTTACTAACATTGTGCCAGTTTTATACTTTCAGGGACTGGGAAGAGGAACAACGATGCAGGAGCAAGGTCGACCAACAGAGGAAGACGAGATGACGAGTCCATTTCCCATCTCTATACAGCAACCAACATGGCCCAAAGTGGTAAGTAACTTTTCGTGATTTGTTGCATTCTTTTGAAATTTTACTAACATAGTGCCAGTTTTATACTTTCAGGGACTCGGAAGAGGAACAACGATGGAGGAGCAGGGTCGACCAACAGGGGAAGACGAGATGACGAGTCCATTTCCCATCTCTATACAGCAGCCAACATGGCCCAAAGTGGTAAGTAACTTTTCTTGATTTGTTGCATTCTTTTGAAGTTTTACTAACATTGTGCCAGTTTTATACTTTCAGGGACTGGGAAGACGAACAACGATGGAGGAGCAGGGTCGACCAACAGAGGAAGACGAGATGACGAGTCCATTTCCCATCTCTATACAGCAGCCAACATGGCCCAAAGTGGTAAGTAACTTTTCGTGATTTGTTGCATTCTTTTGAAGTTTTACTAACATTGTGCCAGTTTTATACTTTCAGGGACTGGGAAGAGGAACAACGATGGAGGAGCAGGGTCGACCAAGAGAGGAAGACGAGATGACGAGTCCATTTCCCATCTCTATGCAGCAACCAATGTGGCTCAAGGTTATAAGTAACAAATTGATTATTCAAATGAAGTTTGTCATTTGTTAGGGAATGTGAGTGATTCTCCATTGATGTGTTTGTTTTCTCTTTTTAAGCAGAAGAAATTTGAGGCTGACCAGGATCCTGAAGTGAAGAGCAGTCCCTCTCCCATTTAACAGCGTTCATGAGCAGAAAGTGCGATAAGATTCATACTTGACCTCTGAGCACCTTTTCCCAATATTATGGCTTTCCAATTGATGTTGGCTTTTTCAGGCTTTGACCTCTTGAGTTTGAATTGACAGGAAGCAGAGATAGCTACCTCTGAAGGTCAGTCTGGAGTGTTTTCTGCTGCATTCAGAAAGTATGGGGTGTATAGTAGTTGTAAGTAGCGTTACAAAGGTGTTTCTTAGTCTTAGGTTTAGTTTGTGTAGTATTTCCGGTATGTGCAGTTGTGTTGTAGTTTGAGTTAGTAAGTAGGCTTTAGTTGATAGTTAGACAGCTTAGAGGAGTGTAGGTTACTATTGTAATTAAGGTATTTGTTAGTTAGTGCATGATTAGTGCTTGTGGTGGATAGGTTTGCATGATTAACACCCTAACAAGCAGGGTTCTCCATGAGCTGTTTTACTGTGTTGGTCCCGACACAGAAAAATGTTCTCCGACACAGTAAAGATTCAAATTTTATCTGTGCGACACATTAAAAATTTTGCTGACACAGTAAGATCTGTGATAATAAAAAAAAATTGAAACATACAAATTCTCTCTATCTGAAACATAATTGATCAAACAATTTTACCATCTTTCAATTCTATACGATATCTAGATCACTTAATTATGCTTTCACCTTGCATAATCAATTATTTCCTAGACCCTCAATGGACTTGACGCATGAAGGAACAAAGACAAAAAATTGGATTTCAAACTTCCATGTAACGCTTAATTGGTACTAGTAGTTGCAATTAAAGTACATTGGATTATTTTTAAAAATATATAAGTAGTTCAACTTTATAGACAAGAATTTCCTCTGCATTTCACAACATGAGCTAATATGTTAGATCATACTATTTTTGTAACGAATTGGTGATTTTTTTTTTTTTTAAATTGTGTGCATGTATTCTTAAGTAATTATAATGAATAGTGAGTCAGTTGCAAAGAGCCATAGCGCATTTGATAGTCACTTTCGCCTACTCTAATAGTGATTTTTTAAATACTTTGTTTAACCAAAATTTTGTCATACAATGTTAGTTTATACATGCCTCAAAGCAACCCACACAAAAATAATACTCAATTATTAATATATCCCTCCTATGATAGTTATAAAAATCGTTCAGTTTATATGGAGAATATGGTAAATACTGAGGTACCCCCCTAAACAATGACAAACTGTAGGAAAAGACCACCCTTAACCAGAAAAACAACTTCTGAATAATTTTATTTGGATATGACTGCACTTCTTTACGTTTAGATAATTTTGGTTAAAGGTGGTCTTCATATTGAAAATGATGAAAAAATGTATTTAATTTTTCTTCTAAAACTATTTCAAAATTCAACAATCTGTCTTAATTTTATCTATTTGATTATCAAGACGTCGTGGCGTAGTGGTATAATTGCTGGATAGAAGACATAATGATCGTGAGTTCGAGTCTCACAGTGCGTGTTAGTTATCTATGATTTTATTTTTTTTTCTCTGTGTGCATTTTCCTATGTTTTCTATAATTATTTTATAATACATATATAAATAATTTTTAAAAGAGATATATAATACAACATTACACATTGAAAGCATCTTGGGGAAAAACAGTCTTAAACTATTTTAATGACCTAAATTCATAGCTGCTTTTCTGTTTTATTTTTTTTTCAAACAATATATCTTTCAAACAATCTTGTTTAGAATAAGAGTATTGGACAAGTAAAATTGCTGTCATGCAACAAACTTGCAACTGTGAAAATATAACACTGTTTCACAAATGATTACGTACATGTAGTTTGATTTTGAATTGAAGAGGTACATGTATCTATAAATAGAAACAGGTGATTTCCTTTTAAATACTTGAGTAGGCCGAGTTGTCGGTAAGGCAGCTATGGCTCTTTGATCGCTAAAATACCGTGAAATTTTAGTGCTTTGCATAAACTATGCAATATAGTAAAATTTCAAACAATGGAGAACCCTGAACAAGTAACAAGCTACTAAAACTACTAACGTCTGCTAAATGTTGTGTGACGTGTCTAGTGTGTTGGTGTTAGTGTCTGTGTGCTTGTCACCTCTCGCTTTCAGCCATCACCGCTGGCTAGCAGCAATGCGAAAAGGGGGAAGAAATTCTAATGTCTTCCCCTGCCAGTACATAGCCTCTCCACAACAAGTCCTATGCGATGCCTCCATGTGGAAGCAGACGGATACTGGGTGTCATTTTGTCCCAGGCTAAGTTCGCAAGGGCGCACGGGAAGATGAGTCTCAAAAGCATTGGTAAACATCTCATACAGTCAGGGGCATGATGGAATCAAGTTATTTTTTTAAATAACTTGTTTAGGTTACTTCACTTATTTATTACTAAACAAAAAAGTAACTCATTTGAGTTAATGCTTAAAAAAGTAGAATGCATATCAGTTTTGTAAAAAAAAAATATTCATATTTTGAGTTTGCTACTGATTAAGATGACTTAAGGCTAAGAAAGTTGTAAATATACTGTAGATCACTAAATTTTCGCGACACCTTATTTTCGCGACATAGTCATTGTCTCTTGATTAGCGAGACAAAATTTTCACGAATCGTGGTTACTGTTCTATGTAATCTTAAGGAATACTATTATGCGCGAGAATGAAAATTTCGCGTGCTCACTGTCTCGCGTAACTACGCGAAAATAAAGTTCTCGCGAATAAAAAGTGATTTACAGTATGTACTTCTTTTAATAGACTCCACAGATTAATATCTCCTGAGAAGATACAATGATATTAAAAAAAATAATATGATATTTTCAAGGAAAAATAATTCCATTTCATTAACATTTCAGAAGTCAATTACACATCTTCCACCAATTTTGCCAACATTGAGACTAATTTTCCTAAAATCTATGGATATTACTCTACAGTCTCTGTGTCTTACATTTTTTGTGCAAAGCTGTACAATTTTGTGCAAGAGTTTTAAAGTGAGGTGGGTTAAGGATGAAATAATTGAAATGAGTTATAATTTGTAGGATTTCAATGTGTTAATTCTGAAAGATTGATTACTTTTACTGTCATTAGCGTTTTCCATCTACTTGATAACCCAAGCACAGCATGAATAAATCTATTCAGATGCCAGTAGGTTTACAATAAAGAGTAGTAAAGTATCAGTAACAGGAATAAGTTACTGAAGAAAAGCATAATCAGGGAAATATAAACCAAAATGTTGACATTTAATAACTGAAACAGATTATTTAAAAAATAACTTGTTTCCATGATGCCCTTGACTGTCATATAGGATCTCTCCTGATCACAAACGCAATTTAGTAGTAGAATCAATTGATATAAGTGCTGGTTTTTAAAAGAAGTGAACCTTTGTTCATTTTATGTCTTTGTCATCTTTTTAGCTCACCTGAGCCAAAGGCTAAAGTGAGCTTTTCTGATCACATTTTGTCCGTCGTCTGTCCGTCCGTCCATCTGTAAACTTTTCACATTTTAGACTTTTTCTCAAGAACCACTGGGCCAATTTTGACCAAACTTGGTACCAAGCATTCTTGGGTGAAGGGAAATTTAAATTGTTAAAATGAAGGGCCAAGTCCCCTCCGAAGGGGAGATAATCAAGAAAAGACAAAACTAGGGTGGGGTCATTAAAAAATCTTCTCAAGAACCACTGGGCCACAAAAGCTGAAACTTCTGTGGAAGCATCCTGGGGTAGTGTAGATTTTAAATTGTTCAAATCATGACCCCCAGCGGTTGGGCGGGGCCACAATGAGGAATCAAATTTTTACATAGAAATATATAGAAAAAATCTTTGAAAATCCTCTGCTCAAGAACCACTGGGCCAGAAAAGCTGAAACTTGTGTGGAAGCATCCTGGGGTAGTGTAGATTCTAAATTGTTCAAATCATGACCACCGGGGGTAGGGCGGGGCCACAATGGGGAATCAAAGTTTTACATAGAAATATATAGGAAAAATCTTTGAAAATCTTCTTCTTAAGAACCACTGGGCCAGAAAAGCTGAAACTTATGTGGAAGCATCCTGGGGTAGTGTAGATTTCAAATTGTCTAAATTTTGATCAGTGGGGTAGGGTGGGGTCACAATATGTGTTACAAGGGGGAAATCTGGTAAAGAACAGAATGGTCAAAGCTTCTCAGGTGAGCGATGTGGCCCATGGGCCTCTTGTTTGTAAAATTTCACATTTTCATCTTTGGTCAAATTCAACGAAACTTGGCAAAGAGTAGCCTTGGATAAATGCCATTATGGGATTTAAGTTTATTCAAATGAAGGCCCACTCCCTCTTCAAATGGAAGATTACTACAAATTAGAGAAAAATTAAGGACATCTTTTAAAAATCTTCTTTTCAAGAACCACTGAGACAGGAAAGAGACACTTATGTGGCATCATCCTCAGGTAGTGTAGATTCAAAATTAGTCAAATCAAGACCCTATGTTGGTGTCAGAATAGGGGATCAAAAATATATATAATACTTTAGATTCCTTATTTTTCGCGACTAATTATCGCGAATAGGCTTTTCACCGTCAAATCATAAGAATAATAATTCGCAAATGCATGGTTGGTTAAGAGATTTTACATAGATTTCAGCGCCATAAAAATAAAGGCGAGTAAATTAATTTTGTGTGTGGTGCTTCTCACGAAATTACGCGAAAATTAATTCCACACACATATTTAGGAATCTACAGTATGTAGGGATATACTTTTTTTTTCTCAAGCCACAGTTAGTTATATTGATAGCAAATCATCCTTTTTGGTAGTGAAGATTTCATTTTGTTCAAATCATGCCTACCAGGAAAAGGTTTGGGCCACATTGGACAATCAAAGTTTTACATTGGATTATATTGGAAATATTTTTAGAAATCTTCTCAGAAACAAATATGTCATGACTGGTGATATGTATACGGTAGCATCTTCATGTAGTGTAGATTTAAGTTTGTTCATATCATGACTCCTAGGTGTAGGGCAGGGCCCCAATGGTGGATCAAAATGGACAGGGGAATACTGTAAATCACTTTTTATTCGCAAAAACTTTATTTTCACATTATTATGCGAGACGGTATGGTCGCGAAAATTTGATTCTCGCGTATAATATAATTCCTTAAGATTATATACAGCAATGACCACAATTTTGAAAATTTTGTCATTGACTATCTCGCGAAAATAAGGTGTCGCTAAAATTAAGTGATTTACAGTATATAGGAAACGTCTTCTCAATAATACCAAAGCCATATATAGTCATATTGATATGGAAGCATCCTTAGGTATATATAGTGTAGATTCAAATTTGTCCAAATCTTGATTCCAGGGGGCAGGGAGGGGCATCAATGGGGATAAAATTTTAACAAAGGAATATAAAGGAAAAAGTTTTATGTTCAAGAACAGCTAAGCCATTGTTATTGATATGAAAATGTCTCCAGGTAGTTATTCAAGCCCCCTTCTCCTCTTCCTAAATTTTATACTTTTCAATACTGGACTAATTTGTCATTTACTAGCCAATATGCTTAGGTGAGCATATTGCCCATTGGCCACTAGTTTATTTTAGAAATCTTCTCACTTGGTATGAAGTGCAAGTGATCCTCTTTTGGTGTCTGTTTATTTTTATCTTTTTTAAAAGAGGAATACTTTTAAGGCTGAACAGGATCCTGAAGTGAGGAGGACTTCCTCTCTCATTGAACTGCATACAGCAGCAGAAAGCAGGGTAAGATTCAGATTTTACTTCTTGTATCTTTGCTTGCCTATTGATGTTGGCTGTACCAAGCTTTAACATCTGGACCTTCAATTGACAGATTTCAGTTCCCTTTGATTCAGAAGAGGAACAACAATGGAGGACCAAGGTCATTAATATAAGAAGAGTCTATTCCTGTCTGTGTTTTGCAGGTATTATGTTTCAAAAGTGGTAAGCAACAAGCTGCTTTTTCCTGAAGCATCTCATTTGGTATGAAGTGCAAGTGTTTCCCCTTTTGTGTCTCTATTTTATCTTTTTAAGCAGAAGAAAGTTAAGACTGACCAGGAATTCTAAGTGAGGAAGAGTCCCTTTCCCATTCCGCTGCAGCCATGAGGAGAAGAATTAGACTTTACTTCTTTTTCACCTATGGAACTTCGAGAATACTTGTAAGAATCAGACTTTACTTCTTTTTCACCTATGGAACTTCATCATGACCCACTTTAACAGGCAGGAGTCTTACAAGTATTTTTTATTTAATTATTTCTGACATATCTTTGACCTCCCTACTCTAAAGTAACTATGTTTTCCTCTCCTTGCCCCAATATTCCACCTTATTCCTAGCTATCATAACCTTATTGTCTTTATTTGCTTTTTGATTTTCAAGCTAATAATGTTGTAATGATTATGTTCATTTGAATTTCTGTGATTATTACATAGCTTTGTATTATTGCTTATCTTCTCTCCATCAAGTATTTTCAAGGAATTTGACAAGGGAAGAGGACCAGTGCTGACCAGTGAAGAAAAAGAAGAGTCTATTGCCAAGCTTTGTACAGCAGCCAATATCTGATTAAGGAGTGGGTAAAAAGATTTATTTTTTGCAATTTACAAATTTTCTTTATACACTTATCAAATCATAGGTCCAGGGGGATTTACTTCTGCTGCACAACAGCAAGACTGTGTTGCGATAATAGTAGGGCATCCCGAGGATGTGTTGTTTCAAATTACGTTACATCATGATCCCTTTGGACTAGGATTAGTAAAAAAAATATGAATTAAGAATTTTTCTTTTGATGACAAAGTCAAGGTGACTCAGGTGAACATTTTGGCACAAGGTATTTTTGTTTGGGGGGTATATAGGAATTTTTTTCTGTGCAATTGTGTCCGGTCCATATCTTTCTTACAGAGGGACATTAGAATCTACTACTCCACACTAAGATTGTTCATAACCTAAATTTGGGGAAGTTCAAGGTCACTGGAAGAAAAATTTCATAATTCGTGTCTGGTCCATATCTTTCTTATGGATAAACTCTGTTCTAATTTCACACAAAGATTGCCCATGACCCAAGGATGTGTCATGACCTTGACCCAAGGTCATTTGAAGTTCAAGGTCACTGGGAGAAAAATCAAAATTCATGTTTGACACATATCACTTGGTAGGTTCTCAGTTCATACAAAGATTGCCCATGACCCAAGGGTGTGTCATGACCTTGACCCAAGGTCATTTGGGGAAGTTCAAGGTCACTGGAAGAAAAATTTCATAAATTGTGTCCGGTCTCTATCTTTCTTATGGATAAACTTGGTAGGTTTTCATTTCACATAAAGATTACCCATGACCCAAGGGTGTGTCATGACCTTGACCCAAGGTCATTTGGAGAAGTTCAAGGTCACTGGTAGAAAAATTTAATAATTCGTGTCCGGTCCATATCTTTCTTAAGGATAAACTTGGTAGGTTCTCATTTCATACAAAGATTGCCCATGACCCAAGGGTGTGTCATGACCTTGACCCAAGGTCATTTGGGGAAGTTCAAGGTCACTGGAAGAAAAATTTCATGTCTATATCTTTCTTATGGATAAACTTGGTAGGTTTTCATTTCACATTAAGATTGCCCATGACCCAAGGGTGTGTCATGACCTTGACCCAAGGTCATTTGGAGAAGTTCAAGGTCACTGGTAGAAAAATTTAATACGTGTCCGGTCCATATCTTTATTAAGGATAAACTTGGTAGGTTTTCATTTCACACAAAGATTGCCCATGACCTATGGGTGTGTCATGACCTTGACCCAAGGTCATTTGGGAAGTTCAAGGTCAATGGAAGAAAAATTTTATAAGTCGTGTGTGATACATATCTTTATTATGCAAAAACTTACTTCTGAAAAACCCAGCGGGGGGTATTTTGTCCCAATTGGACAGTTCTAGTTGTTCATGTTTTTTTCGTTATCAAGTAGAAGATGAGACTGATCTTAATCAGTTAACAAGAATGTGGAAAGTAAGGACTTACTACTGTCTAACCTAAACATTGATGGTTAGTCAGATCAGATGCATGTAAAGCTCTAGACCTTGCATTATGTGAATTAGAGGAGATTCTGACTCTCTCGATCATTGCTTGGATTCTTAGTGTCTTTTTGTTAATAGGCAGGCGGTTATGCTGGCATTGATCCTGTTTCCAGAAGCAGATCAACATTATTCCTCAAGACTCCAAAGAGATCAACTATGGGACCTGAAAATAAAGGTAAGACACATGTACAAGCTCTGCAAAATCCTTCTACTCTGTAAAAATATGTTAGCTATTTTTCATTTATTAAGATTTTATTAATATTTATGTTGAGTCCTTGTGATTTCTTTTTTTACAGGCAGACTGCCATCAATTTCATGTTTCTTTGATAGCAGACAAATATGCTTCAACAATAGTGCAGAGAGTAATTTAAGGTTTGGACTGCAAGTGATGGACACACTAAAAAACTCAACTCAAAGAATTCAATGGATAGTGCTGAGTACATTATTATATATCTACAAAGTGATGGGCACACTAAATAGCTTTACTGACAGAATTCAATGGACCGTGCTGAGTACATTGTTATCTACAAAGTGATGTACACACTAAATAGCTTAACTCACAGAATCCAATGGACAGAGCTGAGTATGTACTGATATCTACAAAGTGATGGACACAGTAAACAGCTTAATTAATTCTCAGGATTCAGTGTACCATGCTGAGTACATAACTCATTAAGGATAACTCATGATCATATGACATCCACAGCAGATCACTCAAAGTTGTGATACTATATTACTTTTCATATATACTACGTTATTTTTTCTGAATGTTTTTTTTTTTTTGTATCTGTATATTATTTTTTTTTAATTTAAAAAAGTTAAAGATTGGATTTTTAAGCAAAAATATCAAGAGAGGTAAATCAGTGCTTGTCTGAATATCTAAGCTTAAGAGAAAGGGAGGTAATTTTTTTATTGTGAATCCTTGTCCAGAGCTTATGCTTTCTCCCCTTGGTCCAATGTGGCTAATACTTCTCTCACAGAGTGCCACTGGTCAATGGATGTGTAGTGACCTTGAACAAAGTTTCTAGGCCAAGAGTCAAGGTTAAAACCCCTTTCAGCTACTTTATATTTTTATGTTCATTGCTGAAAGTGGAACCCTTTGAGATGGCCACCATCTCAATGATATCTAATTTTAGTTTGAAAATTGCTAGAAAAGATAAAGTGATCTCATTGTAACATTATTATTTTTTAGTGTTTTAGACTTTTAGATTATAAATAAATATAACAATATGCAAAATCTAAATTCTTTTATATTTTCTCTCCTTTGATTTAAATGGCAGACCTTGCAGTTTTTAGCTCATATGAGATTTTCTGATCACCTGTTGTCTGTCGTCCATCCGTCTGACTGTCCATTCATCTGTAAACTTTTCACATTTTCAGCTTATTCTTGAGAACCATTGGGCCAATTTTGACCAAACTTAGTACAAAACATCCTTGGGTAGTGGGAGTTTAAATTATAAAAATAAAGTCCCCTTCCGAGGGGAAATTGTCAAGAATATACAAAAATAGGGTGGGGTCATAAAAAAATCTTCTCAATAACCACTGGGCCAGAAAAGCTAAACTTCTGTGGAAGCATCCTGGGGTAGTGTTACTAGTGTAGATTCTAAGTTGCTTGGATCATGACCCCTGGGGATCGAGAAAGGTCAAGATAGGTATTAGGGGGAAATCTGTTTAATAATATAATGGCCAAGGTTACTCAGGTGAGTGATGTGGCCCATGGGCTTCTTGCTTATCTAATTTAGTTTTATCTTTGTATGCAACACTTTTTCCTTCTTTTAGTTGTTACTGAGGTTCTAAGTAATTTAAGTTTTTTATGAAATATTTTTCCTTGTCAAGTTCTATAAGCATGTTCTACTTCATACACAAGTAGTATATGAAGATTTTGTAGATGTTTCATATTTTTTCAATTTTTCTTGAAAAGCCTAACTGATGTACATGTAATTGTAAAAACTGTGTTTGTCCCTTGTGATACATGATTAATTTATGTCAGTTTGAATTTATCATATATATTAAAATACACTATTATACAGTCTGTTTGTCATGGAATTAAACTTGTTGAGTTTTTATTCCACCTCTATAATTGAAGATTTGGGGGCATATTTTGATAAACTGTTGGTCTGTTTATGTGTCTCCAAATTTACTAATTTTTACTACCCATGGCCATTCCTTTTGAACTTTTTTTAACCTTTAAGTTAGACTTTGACCTACTTTGGTAAAACAAAATGATGTGAATGATTAGTGCTAGGGCTTTCATATTTCAAATGTATATTCCTTGTAATGAAACTTCTCTTTTTACCCCAAACAAAGGAAGTTTTAGGGATATATAGGAATCACATTGTCTGTGAATGTAATTTTGTCTAGGCTCTAACTTTGATATATGGAAACATTGGAAGCTTATACTTGTTATAGAGCTTGCTTGTAATGACCCGACAGTGAGTCCTGATCTGACACAAGGTCATTCCTGCAAGTTCAAGGTCACTGGCCTAAAAGTATGAAATTTTTGTCTGGATCATAACTTTGTAGAAAGAATCACTGGAAGTTCAAACCTGGTACAGGGATTGCTTATGACCCAAAAATGTGTCATGATCTTATCCAGTCATTCCATTTAGTTCAAGGTTACTAGTAGAAAAAAGGTATGACATAACTTGACTTTGTAATGGAGAGTCAGTGGAAGCTCATACTCGGTACAGATATTGCTTATGATCAAAGAATATGCCTTGACCTTTATCCAAGGTCATTTTGGCGATTTCAAGGTCACTGGTAGAGAAAAGAAAAAAAATGTCTCGGCTAAAACTTTATTTGGAAAAGAATTGGTACAGGTATTGTTTTTGAAATACATATGTAATGTAGTTCTTAAGACCATTATTGATAAATACTGTAAAACCAAAGAGGGCCGAGTGTATACATGCTTTGTTGACTTTCAAAAAGCATTTGACACAGTTATCCACACAGGAATCAAAATTAAACTGCTTAAAATAGGGGTAGGAACAAAATTCTATGAGGTTATTAAAACAATGTATGCACTAAGCAAATCTTGTGTCCGCCTGGACAGTAATATCACATATTTTTTCCAAATAAAAGTAGGTGTAAAGCAAGGTGATAATCTCAGCCCTAACTTATTTAAAATATTTATTAATGATCTCCCAGAGTATCTTAACTCAACTCCTGATCCTGTTATTTTAAACTCACACCCCCTTCATTGTTTGATGTATGCTGATGACATTGTTTTATTGTCATCCTCAGCTAATGGTTTACAGCAAAAATTAAATATCTTACAGAGTTATTGCAAGGACTGGTGTTTAAATATTAATACATGTACTTGAAAAACAAAGATCCTTATTTTTAACAAAGCGGGCAGGTTATTAAAATTAAAATTCTTCTTTGCCGATGTTGAAATTGAATGTGTGTCCAACTACAAATACCTTGGGGTCTCATTTTGCACCTCTGGTTCATTTTCCCTCGCACAAAAACAACTTTATCAAAAAGCTCTAAAAGCATTTTTCAAACTCAAAAAAGACATAATTTCATTAAACCCTGATATTAAAACCATTGTTCATATATTGGACCACACCATCAAACCAATAATGTTATACTCCTCTGAAATCTGGGGTTGCTTTAATCCATTTACTAAGAAATTCGCAGATTCTAGCTGTACCATAGATAGAATTTATTCAAATTTATTATGTGAAAAACTTCATCTTAAATTCTGTAAATCAATTCTTGGTGTACATAAATCCACAACAAATTTTGCTGTATTGTCTGAATTGGGAAGGTTTCCCCTGCATTTTGACATTAAAAAGCATGCTAAATTACTGGCACAGACTAGAAAATCTTGGCCAATCATTTACTTTACTGCATAATGCATTCTCTGAATCGAATTTACTTTTTAAGTAAAACACATCTTCATGATATGGCTCAATCAACTTTTTTCTTTCTAATATCATGGGAATTAAAGATTTGTCTTCAGTAAAAACATATAAAATTAAAACTGTCATTAAAAACTGTTTACTTAAACACTACATTAAAGAATGGCATTTTCATCTCGGACTTAACTCTGACAAAAAATTAAGGAACTACTGCATCTTTAAACAAAACTTTGGCTTTGAGAATTATTTAAGATCAATTAAAAACTTTGAACATAGAAGAAATTTAATTCGCTTTCGAATATCAGCCCACAGACTCCAAATTGAAAGGGGGCGTTATCAAAACATTCCTCAAAATGAAAGGTTTTGTCAGAGATGTAACAACAATTTAGTTGACGATGAAAAACATTTTTTATTCTTATGTAGTCATGTAAAGGAAGAAAGGGTTATTTTGAATAAGATAATAAAAAAATATTGTAAGAATTTTGATAAGATGGACAATGACCAAAAACTAATATGGTTAATGACCAATGAAAATGTTGAAATTCTTACTCAAAGAAAGTGGGCGCTTTAGATGGCGATTCGGCAGGAATAGTGGCTCATAAAAAGAATAAAAAATCATCATTGATTTATACATTTTTTTCAAAACCTATCCAAAGACTGTGTTGTAGGTGAATGTAAAATGAGCAAATATTCAGTTAAATATGTTTGGTTTTATTTGAATATGCACCTGAATATAGTCATACGAGTCAAATGATGCAAAAATTGACTCTTTTATAGCCGTTTTTAATTAATTTTGTTGTTTCTGGGTCTTCTCTCCATGAATTTTAAATGCGTTATCAGTGTATTTTTAACCGTAAAATTTATTCCAGTTATTTAAAAAATGGAGAGACGACCCAGAAATACCAAAATCTAAACTTTTTCTATTTATTTTCTGGTAGAAAATTGACTAAGTCCAATTAGATAGGGCTTTGGCTTTAAATAATGATCTAAATACCGGCACTACCTATCAATAGTGTCCCGCGGTAGCTACATTGGTTTGTCGCTTGAATCGAGCCATATCGATGTAGCATTTTAGGTTCGAATACAGTGATTTATTTTATTTTATTTTATTTTTTCTTTTTGCTTAAAATTTTTGAATTGGTAGTAAAAAAAAATACTTATTGAATAAAGTTGCAAAATAATGTGTTATGAATTATTTTACATTAATTGTTTTATATTTCAATGCGTTCACATTTTGTCATTTATAGTGCTAACGTTCCTAGATAGAAATAAACATCGAGAACTTGTAACTACAAAGTTAATCCTGATGAAAAAATATTGAATATATTAAAAAAAATAGCAACTTCGATTGTTCTGTTACATTCATTATTTTCAGTGCATTTGAAAACTGAGCACAAAAAATATTTAGTGTTAGACTTCTATTATATTCTATTAAATGTATCCAGCATAGATAATTTATCTTTCATGACACCTTTTAATTGGAAAAAAAAATATTTACAAGTAAACAAAGACAGAAATCCATTCCCATGAAGCTTCTAGGTTCATTGTATAAGATATGTATTAAAACTACTTGGTGCTTGGACATTTAAATCTGAATTGTTTCGTGTCATTGATTCCTGCCGACTGCCCATCTAGTCCGCCCACTTTCTTTGTAAAATGATTCAGAACAATGGAATCTGATTTCTGAAGAATTGTATCTTAAATATATGCATTACATTTCAATTCATATACTAGGATCCCCTAGTATAGTCATACTGTTCAATAGGCACCGTCCCTTGGTGCCCCAAGTAGTCAGGCCAACAAATTAAGATTTCCTCAAACAAGCTGTTCTGGTTGCATAGGGTACAAGACCGAGCAACCTGGGTTTTCATTTTTTCCAGACTGCTCAATAGGCATCGTCCCTTGGTACCTTATGCTGCCAGGCCAACAAAATTATATACCGGTATAAATACTTTCTGTAATAATATGACTATTAATAATGATAATTTGATTACATAACTTGTTTGCTATTATCCGCCAGGTCATTGCAGTATAAGGGAGCTTGGTATTTTATTACTTTTTTTTTTTTCTTCATATTGTATTATAATCATTATATTATATATGTAATGCTTATATTTCATTGTGAACTACCCTGTATATCAGTATTTCAAATCTGAGAACTTTTACTTGTGAGGATCAAGTCAATTTTGCAATAATCATGATTATATTAATTGTTGTTTCTTAATTGTATATGCCCCCAGAGGGCCCTTGATTGGTGAATAAATAAATAAATATATCATGTAGTTCATGAGAAAATGGACTGCATTTTATTTTGTAAAGAATCATAAGGGAAATATATTGGAAATGTAAATATCAACCGATAAGCCTATTTTATCGACTGTAAAACTATGATTAACTCATTTTTGTGATTTTGGCGTGCCATAGATGTGTTTATTTGATAGAATGGACACGGAAGAGGTTATAAAGTAATTGTACAACTAAAGTTATTGATACATTATTACAATGCATCCATCAGATAAACCCTATATTACCACAGAAATTCGTAGAAAAATGAGGCAAAGAAAAAGAATTCATAAAAAGGCAAAGCATACTAAAAATCCATTAAACTGGCAAAAATTCAGACAAGTCCGTAACGAAGTAATAGACTTAGTACGGAAAAGTAGAAAGGTGTACAAAATTAAACTTGTTTCTCAACTCATTGATAAATCTGTTCCACCAGGAAAGTGGTGGCGTATAGCAAATTCTGTCGCAAGGTTAAGAAACAAAGCTCTACCCCATCTTCTATTAAATCACAAGATGGTAGAATATTGGTGCATCCAATTGATAAAGCTTAAGAATTTAATAATTTTTTCTCTAATATATCACATATTGAAAATGAGCCAGATTTGCCTGAACATGGAGCTGGACCTCCAGACTACTTCTGTGATTTTGAAATAAATGATCAAGATGTTCTTGATCAGTTAAGCATACTTGATCACTCTAAACCATGTGGACCAGATGGAATTCCTCCCAGAATATTAAAGGAAACCCGTTATTCCATATATAAACCTCTATGTAGATTATTTAACCTTTCACTTACAAAAAAAGTTCTTCCATACATATGGAAACAAGCACATATTTCACCTATTTTTAAAAATAAAGGCTGTCCTCAACAACCTAATAAT